TTTGGCAGGCCCGGGCTTGGGATTTGAACCCACCACCTTAGGTGTATGTGGCTGGCGCCTTAGCCGCTTGAGCCACAGGTGCCGAGCCCATTTGTAGTTTTTCTATGAATCTTTATATGAATCCAAAATCTACCTTCTTTATAAGACATTAAAAGACATTATAGGTGACATCAAAAGTAGGAAATATGGAGCTGATTCACTTCTTAAAAGGTAATAAAAGATTAAGAGAAACGTCCCAACTGAGTCCACAGGTGCTCATTCACCAGCTGACATGACACAAATGAAAAGATCATTCAAAAACCCTTAACGTTGTAAAAAGGCAAATGTTGCCACAATGCATCTTGAAAACCAGTTTCTTTTAGAGACTTCTAAGAACTGAGGAAAACATAACCACTGATAATGGTGAAATTCACAGTATTCTCAGGGTGCAAGCTTTACCATGCAACTTGATCTCCAGTTAAAGTCAGCTGAAGGCCACCTACAGCAGCCCTGTCTCTGTCAGAGTTCTTCTCTTGTTATCCAGGATAAAGTGTTAGTCTTATCATAGAAAATGGTCACATTTTCTAGAATCTCCTCATGCAATATTTACAAGTAGCTATAAGCAGGGAGGGGTGGTGCTGCTGGAAGGTAAGCAAAACCAAAAACCATCTTACCTCGGGTACCTAGCAATGCTTTGAAATAGGGACTAAGTGATGCATCAAAATTTTCCATTTTAAAACCTATTAAGAAAAAAAAAAAGATATCGATTAATCTCTACTCAGAATGCTTTTATACAGTATGTTTTTTTTTTCCACAAAAGAACAAGAACAAATTCTTTTCAAAGAATATGCTACAGACAAGGTCAAGTTCCTCATGTGCAAAGAAATTGTTTCTAGCTCACAAAAGTAACTTATGTACTAGTTTTCATTTGAAAATCAAAAAGAGAGACATAATCCCGTGAATTCACTTTATAAATGAAGTGCCAGGATTCTGAACTATTTTTCTCAGTCCCATAAAAACTCTTTCCTGAGTTTCTGTGAAGCTGAAAAAGTGGAACTAACTGGATTGAAGGTGGCAGACAGGAAAAGCTCCTGTCTGGGTGCGAACTGACTTCAGTAAGACAACAAAGATAGGAGGAATCAGAGCAGGGAATCGAGTGCCGCAGTACAAAGATGGCTTCTTCTACTTGCTACTTTTGTTATTATTTTATAGTCCCTCGTCTACAGTAAAACATCCAAATATTAAAAATGAAAAAGGGGGGATACAAAAAATCTCATTGCTTCCCTCAACAACAATCTCTGACAATCTCTAAGTCTTGTCGTCACCAGGAATCAAATGGTGGCAATATTTCTTGGGTACCTTTCCAGAGACTTTTCCCCTCTTTTGAGCACAAAAGAGGTCATGCTAAATGGATATTTTTACAATTGTGGGTTGCACAACCCATTAGGACACGATCAAGTCAATTTAGCATTAAAAAATTATAAATTAATCATAATAGAGAATCCGAATGCTTTGCTCTAAGTGAGAATGAATAACTGCTTCATAAAACTTTAGTTTTATTTTACCATATTTTTAAGTATAATGAATGTACTTAGCTGCGATGCAAAGTAATATTCTCACTGTGGGGGAGTGTCACAGTAAAAAAAATCCCTCAGAATAAAACTTCTATAACAGAAGTATAGAAGTGTACATATTACTTGCTTGTTCTCACTTATTAAAATGTCTTGGCAGTTATAGATTTACCTTAATCTTTTCCCCAATTTGAGATTTAGATTTAGCTAACCATTATATTAACTAGATTTCCTATATGTAGGGGACATTATTTCCAACTTTTCTGGCCATTCCCCTTTTAGAAATAACCACCCACAGTAACTTCCAAGGGCAAAGGTGAAATTGGTTCTATTAACTAAGCTGTTAATCATTTGGCAACACTCCTGTTTCCTCGGCTTGCCACAGCACAGTGTCCATATTCTTGGGCTGATTTGGGGAAAAACCATTGTAACTATGAAATTATCTAATGGCTCTTAATAGTTGCAATTAAGCCAATCTAGCCCAAGGTGAGGGAGAAACAAGAAGAGCCCTCAATGACACTATTTTTTTTTTTTTTATGAGACAGAGTCTCAAGCTGTCCCCCTGGGTAGAGTGCCATGGCATCATCATAGCTCACAGCAACCTCCAACTCTTGGGCTCAAAGTGATACTCTTGCATCAGTTTTCCTATTTTTAGTAGAGAGGGGGTCTTGCTTTTGCTCAGGCTGGTCTGGAACTCCTCAGCTCAAGCAATCCACTCACCTTGGCCTCCCAGAGTGCTAGGATTACAGGCGTGAGCCACCGCGTCCAGGCCTTCAATGACTCTTTGAAAGTAGCTCATAGCTTACAGGGTTCTGTCCTCACTGCCTAAGGGGACTCAGGGACAGGGCACTTGGAAAGTAATGACTCCCTCAACCTGGGGCTGGCAGCCAAAAAAGCACCAGTTGCCACACGCCCACATACGTGCCATCAACTAGGTCAGCCACCTTTGCCCCTCAATAGTTATATAACCTTGGTACTAGGTCACTTCTGCAATTCAACGATTACATTTTTAACATACACGGTTTTGCTGTTCAAGGTTTTGGATACCCGAGGTCAACTGTGGTCTGAAAAGACTAAATGGAAAATTACGGAAAGAAACAATTCATAAGTTTTAAGTCACGTACTGTCCCACTCTGTCCCACCTGAGACATGAATCATCCTTTGGTCCAGTGTGTCCCCGCTGTCTATGCTCCCCGACTATTAGTCATTTAGGAGCCATCTCAGTTGTCAGACCAACTGCTGGAGTACTGCAGTGCTTTGTGTTGAAGTCACCGTTATTTTACACAATTGTTCTTTTAATTAGCAGTTATTGCTATCAATCTCTTATTGTGCCTAATTTCGAAATCAAATGTCATCAGTATGTACATACATACGTGTACAGGAAAAAATAAAGTATATCCAGAGTTCGTTACCAATGGCAGTTTCTGGCATCCACTTGGGAGTCTTAGAAAGTATCCCCCACCAATAAGGACTGTATTCCTGAGACCACTGTGGTCCCTTAGCCATTTTCCTCCCCCAAGACCGATCCTCTTCAGGAGATTCCAGAAAATTCTGGTGAAGAGAATGGGTTTGGCTTTATATTTCTTTCTTTGTGTGTGTGTGTGTCGGTAGAGTGCCATGGAGTCACAGCTCACAACAACCACAAACTCTTGGGTGTAAGCGATTCTCTTGCCTCAGCAAGCACCTGGGACCACAGACACCTGCCACAATGCCTATTTTTTTTATTGCAGTTGTCATTGTTGTTCAGCTGGCCAGGCTGAGTTCAAACCCACCACTGGGGTTAGGTACCACTGCTGGTGCCATAACCACTGTGCTACAGGTGCCAAGCCAGTTTTATTAAAGATAATTCTTCTTTTAGAAGACTCCGTGCTAGAGAGGATGGGTAGAGGGAGGGTGATTGGTGGGACCACACCTATAGTGCATCTTACAAGGGTATATGTGAAACTTTCTAAATGTAGAATATAAATGTCTTAACACAATAACTAAGAAAATGCCATGAAGGCTATGTTAACCGGTTTGATGAAAATATTTTAAATTGTATATAAAACCAGCACACTGTACCCACGACTGCATTAATGTACACAGCTATGATTTAATAAAAAAACAAAACAAAACTCCATGCTAACACTGTCTCAAAAAAAAAGATAATAAAAATAGAGACTCCATAGTTAAATAAGAAAAAATTATCTATTAAAGGGCATTGTAAATTCTGCAATTAAAAATAATAATTTTCCTATTTTTTCAATATCTATTGAAAATCATCTAGGAAATCTAAGTTTTGGAAAATAACCACTGATTTAGTCAAATCAAAATCACGCACGAGAGGATCACTTGAGCCTGAGTTGGAGGTTCCTGTGAGCTATGATGCCATAGCATTCTACCCAAGGCGACAGCTTGAGACTTTGTCTCAAAGGAAAAAAAAAAAGAAGACTTAAGGGCCTAGTGGCACCCACCTGTAGCCCCAGCTACTCAGGAAGCTGAGGTAAGAAGCTTGAGCCCAGAGTCCAAGGCTGTAGTGAGCCATGATCATGCTACTGCACTCTAGCCTGGGATACAGAGCAAAACCCTTTCAAGAAAGAAAGAAAGAAGAAAGACAGAAAAAGAAAGAAAAGAAAAGAACAGAAAAGAATAGAAAAGAAAAAAGAAACACGTAACTTCATCTATGATGGGCCACACATATGGAAAACAGTTTGGATACTGGCTGTATCCAAATAGCCAATCAACAGGAAATAAGAAGGAACAAGGCCTAAAAGCCAGGACTATTTGACTGATTACCTGATGGACAAGTTGCTTACCAGGGACAGAATACCTTTACTCCAAGACATTTTAAAATCTAGATGCTCTTAGGCCAGACTCAGTAGCTCATGCCTGCAATCCTAGCACTCTGGGAGGCTAAGGCAGGTGGACTGCTTGAGCTCAGGAGTTTGAGACCAGCCTGAACAAAACTAAGACCCTGTCTCTAAAAGAATGAACAGCCAGGTGTGGCAAGCACCTGTAGTCCCAGCTACTTGGGAGACTGAGGCAAGAGAATTGTTTTAACCCAAGAGTTTGAGGTTGCTGTGGACGCCACAGCACTCTACCCTAGGGTGACTGAGCAAGACTCTGTCTCAAAATAGATAAATAAAATCTAGATTCTCTTATCTGATGGGTAATACCAACTTATTATATGTATAATAATGAAGTATTAAGCATGAAGGCGCTTTACGCATGAAGGAGGTATAAAGGCCTATCATAGGCTGGCAGATTAAATGGTTCAATGCTGGACTCTATTAGACAATTAGGGTTTGAAACCCATTTCTTCCCCTGGACAGGTTATCTAATCTTTTTTTGAATAATTAGGAAAACAGTAAGAACCCCTGTGTTATTTAATACAGGCCCTTAGAGCAGTGCCTGGCACCTATAAGCCCTCAATAAATGTTTCCTACTGTATGACTGCCCAAGATCAACTCCATGAAGAGGAAAACTGTCAACCACCCTATGGCTGTCCCAGCTTCTCCACAGGGGCACTGCTGGCATTCTGAGTGGAAACAATCGTTATTACTTTGTACACTGGAGCTCATTAACTGAATGCTATCAATGAGTTGCCAGTCACTGTGACAATCTACAACATCCACTTCTAAATTGCAGCACACCCATGGTGGGGGACCAGCAGAAGGAGGGGGGAGTTGACAGTATCTCGGGAGAAGAGCTTATCAGAGGCACTACCTAATGTGAAATACATCATTAAAAGGAGCATACTAATTAAACACAAAAATATCGAACACTACGTGTGCAAAAGGAAGAAACATAAAGGATTAAGCTGGTGACCCAGAAGAAACAAGACATTCATCATAGGGAAGAGAAGCAGGTGCAGTAAACCAAAATGAAGTCCAGTTTTAGCTGTTAGAATGGCACACAGTAACACAAGCTGCATGTATACATTTAATATCGTGCCATAAAAATAAAATTCAAATAACAGTGTTCTGGCCCACATAAGAGAAAAACAATTCAATGCAAGATGGGGGAGGGAGAGGGAGAAGGAAATAAGGGAGAAAGGGGAGGAGAGAGAGGGATGGGTATGCTCCTATTTAATGGGCACTCTCCCAAGGGTATATGGCACATCTCCTGGGGTAGGGACGCATCAGGAATATACTGAACAAAATCAACATTAGAATCAATCATTCTATTTTTTAACTAAGAGGTTTCTCAGAGGGCTGGAAACAAAGGTGAAGAAATGTGTAAAAATGACAGAATTCAGACAGGTGGGGCAGGGATGAGGAGGGAGAAATTATGGATGGGGGAATAAACAAGGCAGCCCAGAAATTTTGATAAATGACCTACTCCAAGGACAACAGTCTAGGACATAGTCCAACTTGAGAATCTAGGCTAACATCACAGCAACAGAAAAGCAGCTTGATGAAACATAAGGCAAACTTTCAGTCCAAGAGTACTACACCAGCAGCAGGCTACCAAAAGGGACTGTGGAATCCAGTATTTGGAGATGCTGAAGAATCCTGTTACAAGCCATCTGTCCCAAACAATCTGAATCTAAACCCATCTCAGAGGCCCGGTGGTACCTGGCAGGAGTCTTTATAAAATGAAATGTCTTCTCTATGAAAGCACACAGTAAGAAATGAATTTTGTCAAAAATGGTGCACCTGTTCTTAGACTGTATTTCTTTTCAGCTTAAAAATTCTTAAGTTGGCTGGCCGCGGTGGCTCACGCCTGTAATCCTAGCACTCTGGGAGGCCGAGGCAGGCAGATCACCTACCAGGGGTCTTCAAACTATGGCCCGCTGAGGACATTTATCTTGCCCTCCGGGTGTTTTTGCCGCAGTTGCCTGTCCTGCTTACCAGCTGACTTGTCCTGGGCCCACAGTCCGGCCCTCCAACGGTCTGAACTGGCCCCCTGTTTAAAAAGTTTGAGGACCCCTGAAGCTCAGGAGTTTGAGACCAGCCTGAATAAGAGCAAGACCCCATCTCTAAAAATAGCCAGGTGCCTGTAGTCCCAGCTACTTGGGAGGCTAAGGCAAGAGAATCACTTGAGCCCAGGAGTTGGAGGTTGCTGTGAGCTGTGATATCTTGGTACTCTACCGAAGGTGACAAAGTGAGACTCTGTCTCCAAAAAAAAAAAAAAAAGAATTGTTAGGTTTAAAGAACTTTTCCCAAACTTAGAAACAGCCTGAAACAGCTAGTAAAACTGTTCTCTGAAACAACAGACTTGGGAAATAACGGTGACGATAATCTTTCAAAGAGCTGCTTGTTGTTTCTGGAATGTCTGTGGATAAGAAGGGATAAGAGGTGGGCAAAGGCCAGCCCTGGAGCACAGGCCTCTCATCAGGAGAGTCCTGACCCATGAATCCCAGGCCTGATTCTGGGCTGGACTCTAATATGTTAAATATTTTCCCTAAACTTCTCTCTACCACACCTACAACTGGACACATATTGGACATGTACTATAATCTTCTAAACCGAGGTTGTTTGTTTTTATACAGGTTACCAAGAGATATCTCCACCAAAGGTTTCCTTTCATCGTTTCCTCAACATGATGCCATGTTTCTGTCTAGCCAGTCACGTATCTAGGGTCCCTGGATACTGTGCACTCACTTTTTCATTCACACCACATGCTTCCCAAGTGCCTGCTATGTGCCAGGCACTGAGGCCCTAAGCCTCTGGGATTCCGGGACCATAAACACGTATTAATTACAGACAGAAATGCACACATACATGGTATGACATGAGGAACAACTGTTTGTAAGAAAAAGTAAAGCAGAGGAAAGGGGGTAGTCATGGAGTGGGGATTTATTTTTTAAAAAATAGAGAAGATTGCCTGAGAAAGCAGCAACAGGTAGAGACCTCGATGGTGAGTGCAAGCCATGTGCCCATCCAAGGAGAGACAGGGGAGTACAGTGGCTCTTAGCCAGGGCAGGCTTGGCATGCTCAAAGGCCAGAGGCCAGGACAGGAGCGGGCAGCACCGTGGGAGACCTTCGGTCCCCCAGTACCTGCTCAGCTCCCCGCCTGTTCTCGCTAGTGGATAGAGGTCAATCACATAGCACATCTTGTGGACAGCATGTGGCAAACAGGCTGGCAACAGAGGAGGGTGTCAATCCTTAACTGCTCATACTGCCACCATCCCTCCCCACCCCCCTGCCGCCAACAGTGTGCCCTTTTCATTCTCATCTCTCTTGCTGGGCTTCATCTGCTGAGATGCATTAACAGCACAGAGGTATCAGCAAATGAATTCTTCATTGCTGGCTGGGCCCATCTGCCCTGCTGGGTAAATTGGGCACTTGCTGAGTGGTCTGTGGGCTGAGCTATATGCTTTTGTATTTTCCTAAAGGAACAGGCGGGCACAGGGCTGTGCAAAACTCTTGATACTTTGCCTAGTGACCTGGTGTCAAGGGAACGGCATGACTCCACTTTGTACAAGATACCCAACCACACTGCCAGGTCTGCAGCTGACATGACTGCTGCAGTCTCCATCTCCAGGCTGTGTGTGCCAGTGACATCACTCTCAATAATCCAAATCACCCTATAGGCAGCTTGGGTGAGCCGGGCCAAGTGAGAACACAGCTGCTCTGTACAATTGTACTAGCAGGGACCAAGCCCAGGCACTGGCCC